TTAGCCATAGGTAACTCTGCTCTAGTGTAGGAATTATCTAGCTAATCTAGCAGGTTTGGGTTATCAAAACAGCAGCCTACTTTTAGACAGTCAGGATTATGTTTGAAATATAGTGCGTAGGTATCTAAATGCAGTTGCTCTGTGTTTGTGCAATATGTCTAGGCTAAATGTACGTGTAGCTTGTTAATGAGCAATAGGCTAGATTGCATTAGAGATGGGGTGAAGAAAAGCTAGTGTTATACCTGAACTATAATAAATTCATGTTTTTGACACTGGGATACCAGAGAAGGTGATAGATAAAAGCACAAAACTTAAAAACAAGTTAAACCAAAGCATAATAAAGAACAATCCAGAAGCATGTTAATTGCCCTAACACTAAAGAACTAGGCTTGTTGGTTTGGCAACCCGAGCTCATGCAGTGTTGGCTCAGCTGTAATTGTTATTTACCATCATAATTTCTGTGAACTAATTTGGTAATGTTATTTTGTGTCATATGTAATCCTATTTATGTATTCTTTTGTCTGCCCTGCAGATTAATTGTGAGGCACCCAATATTTCTCAGAGGCCTGTCTATTACTTTTCGTCATCTTTATTTTCTGCCTTTTTAATATTTTCTTCATCCCAACATTTCAGTAAGTATCCAAGGATAAAAGTTATTTTCTTCACTGTACAAACCAAATCCCAGTCTTCAAAAGGTTATTTAAAGGCACCATAGTGTTATATGCTGTGCCAGCACATTTCTGCACATATCTGTTGCTAAACATGTAGATGTCCAATTAGCATTAGGGGAGTAACTACTAACCAATTCAAGTTTGATGTAGGCACAGCAAGTCACAAAACGATTATACCAGATTCTGTGGATTAGTCACATATGTGTTTCGACAAAAGTTTGTCAGTTATCGGATTAGTGTATGTTACAACACCATTAAAAGATTGACACCATTGTTATATAGGTGAAATGTCTTAGCAATTAAGGATTTTTTATTTTTTTTTACAATGATAACAGAAGTAATACATTCTTCTTTCTGGTTTACAGCATCACCATACCATGTCGAAGAGGGGAGGGGGGCTGAAGAAAACTTGCCCTGCTTGTAAGGAGAAGATTTTTAATGGATTTAAAATGTGCCCTAACTGCAAGGCCCCACAGCCTAAAAATCTTAGATAAAAAAAAAAAATCGAAAAATTTGAACAAAAAAAGGACATATGGGTAGCGAACAACAAAAGAAATCAGGTGATCTCCCACTTACTGGATGATGCAGTCATTTTGGTAAGTAACTTGTATTGTGCTATGTCACCATAGTAGAAATGATCTTATCAAAATGACATAGGTCCTGGTGGCGTGCAGTGATTTTGGGGTCTTTGAAATGCATGTATTTTTTCAAATGGCAGGTTAGCGTTTCTTAATTGGTGGTTCACAAT